AGGAGGACGCGATGCCGCAAGTGCGAGGCCTGCCTGCGGACCGAGTGCGGAGAGTGCCACTTCTGCAAGGACATGAAGAAGTTCGGGGGGCCCGGCAGGATGAAGCAGTCCTGCATTATGAGGCAGTGCATCGCAGTAAGTGTGCCTGGCCCCGAGGCGCCTTCCGAGAGCGCTTTCCCCTCTCTCTGTCTCCTGCTGATGAGGTGTGGGATTGACAACTCTGAGTAGTCCTCAAGGAGAGTAATAGTGCTCTGAGTAAAGTGCATCTAGCAAAACAGCGTCATCCCTGCCCGCTCAGTTCAGGCTCCTTCTTCCCATCACTTCATCCTCCCCAAATCTTAAACCAGAATGCCACTAAAACTTAATAGCGCAGAGCTCTCGTGCTCAGTAATAGAGAAGTGGAGGTCATCAGTAAATGGAAATTGGCACTTAAATCACACTGAAATTCTGGGGTTTGGGGGAGAAGGGGAGAGAGTGGGAAGTTCTGATTCAAAGGGAGAAGAGGACTGTTTGTTTTGGATCTGTGAATTTCCTGAGAAAAGCTTCCTTCCAAGTCTTTACCATCTTCACTACTTAACCAAATTAGGTTATAGAGAAATCTTTGACTGGCATCCTCCAAGATTTTGGCATTGGTGACTCCAGCCTCAGGCTACTTGAGATCTGAATTTCAATTTGTTTGCTCTTACCTAGACATATAGAGAAGAGTCTGCTCCAGGTGAGCCAAAGAGCCATCAAGCCAGAGCCTTGTCTTCTTAGGGACTGGAAATGGCTGCTGGGGGATGAGCATCAGAATGGCAAAGGCAGGCAGTCAGAGAGGGTTTCCTGGGCTCCTGTGATACATTGCTTGGAAGCTTCTTGAGTCATAAGTGATAGCTTTGTGTTTAACAAGTATTGACAGATTAATCTTCCATTAAGTTGTTGAAGCTGCTTTTGAATCCGTTGCTTTCATACTGACTGTTGTGGAGCTTCTCCTCTGGTCTTATGCCTGCGGTACCCCCATTAGCTTTAGCTTTTATCTTAATTCTTTGGAAGGTCTTGTTTATGCTGTTGTTAAGGGTTGGTTTTCTATTGGTTGGGTGTTTTTTTTTAAGGAAAGGAATGTTGTTTATTCATAACTGAAATATCACCACATCTACACTGATTCCTCTCTTAACTCTTCTTACAGTTGTTTTTGCTGAGGGTTGGGTGGTGTTTCTTTTTTTCTTTAATTCTGATGAGGAAACTGAAGTGCAGGCGTTAAATGACTTAGTCTGATAAAAAACTGATAAGCACTTAAGGTTTCCAGTAGTTGCTCCTGGTAGGTCACTCCACGTCCTGTTCTAAGCCATGCACTGTTCTTGACACAGAGGATTGGATTCAGCTCTGCTGGATCTTTAAGTAAAGTACATAGAATATCCACCTTTCCGCAGAGTGCTTTTGCAGCTCAAGTGTCTTTTCTTTGAACACTTGATTTCCTGGAGTGTGGCATGAATTGAACAGCATGGATGAAGAATTTATTATTCTCCAGGGGGAAGAAATAGCGAAACCGTGCTGCCTTTTTAGTGGTGGGATTAAATTAAGGCTGCAGTGTGCTTTCTTGTCCTGACTGATGAAGGAAACTTTCATACTAAGCTGTTTCACTCTTGATAGCACAGGCTGAGCCTTCTTCAGGAGATGAACTGGGTTCTCTTCTGGCTGAACGTAGTCATCCTCTCATCTCCTCTCTTCTAATGAAGAAGTAATTTCCTTCTTATTATCTGCAGTTCTATACCCAGAAGCTGTGGTTAGAGCACAGGGCTTGGTAGTTGGGGGACTGATTCCTTTTCTCACCCTTGCATGTATTTAACTAGTCAGCTCTGCCCTTCTTAAGTCCTCCTTGGTGTAAGTAACAGGGAATGCTACAGACTTCCTTAGAGCAGCAAAAGTATAGAACAGTTGCAAGTTGAACTGTTGTAACTTTTAAGGGTGCTTTACATTACTGTAAGCAATCCTGTTGTCTTTACTCTTGTTCATTATGTTCTCCAGCAATTACAGTAGTAATATATTGTGGTACCTATTCAACAGCTTCCAGCCAGAAAAAGCCCAAAACACTGAAGCAAGGCTCTGTGGAAGTAATGATCCCTACAGTTCTGGGATTGTGCTTTCCTCTAGTTAATAACGTTGACAATATTAACTAGACCCAGACTTTCATTAAACTTGGAAGCCTTGAGAGAGCCTGTACTGCTGATGAGAGAACAGGAAACTCCTCTGCATCACTAGTTCAATCAAGGAAGAGAACAGGAGTGCCTGGGAAACTTTATGCTGTGTTGAATAGGAGTGAAGGGAGTGTGGGGCTCTGAGCTGGGAGGGCAAGTAGAGACAGCAGGGCTGTTTCCCAGCCCATCAGTGGGGTAGAGCTAGTTGGGGCACAGAGATTACCTAGACATCCTCACTCCCAGCAAGAAAAATTGTACTGCTCCTGGGGTGTTTCTTCTTGGGTGTGGATAGAAATACCTGTGTGGGAGATGGGGCAAAACAAGCATACAGAGCTCTTAGGGCTCCAGACAGCTTAGCTTTTCTCTGGTTTTCCTGCTGGTGGAATGGGATCCTGGGGATTCTGATTCTGTGCTTGGAGGAAGGGTTGGAAATTAAACAGCATTTGCAAAATGCTTTTAAAATGGAACATGGGTAAGTGCTGGATGAGAAAGCAGGAAGGTGTTGCCATAGTGCATGTCAGATGTTGGTGTGTGGGGCAGCACCCTGCACTCTCTGGCTTACTCTAGGTTTTCACCTGTCTCAAACTTGCCAGTGAATGCACTGCTGCTGCATAGATTTGGTTGGTGTGCAGGTATCCTCTTACAGACTTCATTCACTCCAGCCATGAGAGATCCTTGCTGTGATAAACCACATCTCTGCCTCTGGCTGCTCAATACTTAAGGACTTGCAACCTAATCAATTGCATTTCACTTTACAGCCAGCTTCTTACAAGGGTCTTCCTTTTCTTTCCTGTAATGAGGCTTATATCTTATTGCCACAACCCAGAAGTTTGTTACTTAGTAGCACAAAGGTGGCTTTTAATTAGACTGGCGTTCAGTGCTTTGACACGGGTGACAGATACGTGAGATGCTGCAGTTCCCTTTCTGCCTCAGCAAAAGACAAGGAAAATCAGTGTGCTTCTCACTTGTGTCACTTGCAGGAGAGGAGTTCTTTAAGTGCCTAAGCAGTGTTTTTTGCCATGCTGAGGTTGGGAGCAGGGCCCTAGGATAATAGACAGTCAGGAAGAGGTCTGCTCTTGGTTCTGTTGTGGGCTTGCTGTGAGACCTGGATTGGGTCCCATAACATCTGTCTGCCCTGCTTGTACAATAGGGGAGCTGCCAAATTGCTACTCTGATTGTGAACCTTAATGGATGTGAATAGTGATGTTCTAGGTGGCTGCCTTCCCCTCCAGTTGTCCATGCCAATGGCTGTGTCGGCTCGCAGATTCAAGGGAAATTTCATCCACCCTTGGGATGCCCCATGAATCTGTGTTGTTACAGGGAGGGCTCTTTAATTCCATTAAACATGTCTTGTGATGCTTGGTCTACGTACCCAGCCCTGGTTGTTACCAGTTTTTCTTGCCTTTGTTGCCCTGCTGGGCTGAAGCCTTCAGCAGTTTGCACGATTAATCCCCATTTATCTCCTCTTTGAAATGAGGATGCTGTCAATGCACATTGAGTTCTTCTGTTTCCCTGTGTCTTCCGTGTCCTGATCAAGACTTCTTTCTGATGTGTGTAAACAGCCGGTGTTGCCTCATACTGCTGTGTGTCTGGTGTGTGGAGAAGCTGGGAAAGAAGACACTGTGGAAGAGGAGGAGAGCAAGTTTAATCTCATGCTAATGGAATGCTCCATTTGTAATGAAATCATACACCCAGGATGCCTTAAGGTGAGTACAAGGTTGTGATACGGGTTGGAAACAGCAGTGGGGTGAGTTACCCCGTGTGTAAAGCAGTGTGCAGGAGCTGGGAAGTGTCACACTTTGCTGGGCGACGATTCCGAAGACGGAAGAGTCGGTGTGGGGAGCAGGGTGGGAGCTGTGGCTCGTGCAGACCTGGCTGGCTGGCAGGCTCCTCTGGTGTAAGCAGAGACTCTTCCTTTGGACAGCCTCCGAAAAGTATGTGCATGCAAATGTCTTGCAGGGTGGGGATTTTTTGTTTTGTTTTTCTTTCTTTCTTTTTCACGTCTTGTTTAAGGAAGTGAGGAGTTTCGGTTGGGACAGGAAGCTCAAGAGGATGAGGATCTGCCTGTATCTTTGGATGAGTTGGTCCCTGGATCAGTAGCTCCTTCCTGTGTCCCACACAGTACAAATGAGCTGTGTGCTGTCTGTGTTTGTCCAGGCACAGATGTGCCAGGCAGCTAGCTTTAAAAATGCTATGAGCAAATGGTGCAGTAGAAAGATTGGAGCTCTAGAGAGCCAACTGAGCAAGTTTTGGGCTGCAGCAGTCCTCACCCTTGGCTGACTCCAGTCCTGGAGCAGCTATATTCTTCAATGGTAACAAAAGTGTCATTTTGGGCAGATCTTTGCATATTAGCATTGAGAAGCCTCCTTTCTCCAGAGCTGGTTTGCTTCAGCTGATCAGCCATTTCCTGTTGCTGATTTGTTTATGGTTAGAGTGATTTGCCAAAGCAAATGTATTCTGACACACCATGCCCCAGAAAGAAGCTTTTGGCCCTTTTGGGATCCCCTTCAGGGAGAGGTATGTCCCTTATGCAGGCCCAGGGTGGTGCTCCCCTGGCCTTTTCATTTTTCTTGCACTGTTGATAGCATGGCACCGAGCTCTGTGCGTGTCATTTATTAGAGCAGAAAGTAGGTGGCTGGCAAACCAGAACTGTGGCTGTCTCCCTGATTCATGAAACTGGTGCTCACAGCTCCTGCCACAGATGGCTCTGAAAGGGAGCTTTGCTTGCTTGGCTCTGCTTAAAACAAGCCTTTCAGGGGCTGATGAAGCAAGAGAAGGAGCTGCTCGTTTTCAGAGGTATCTCAGTTTTGGCTTCTAGCTGCTGCTTTGCTGTTGCAGTCCTCCCTGAGAGTGCCCTGCACTCCTCTGCCTCTCGCTTTGCCGTGTCAGTGACACTTTGTGGCTGAGTCCAGAGGACACAATTGTTGTCTAGTGGCAGTTCAAGTATGGTTTCCTCTCCCCATACCACATTTGGAATTAGTTGCACAGGATGTGGGTCAGATCTGTGAAATCAAGCAAGTGCTGTTTGTTCTTTTATGCATGTGTGGTGTTCTGAGTGCTGTTTTGGTAACTAGGAACAGTGTTGCTTTGGGTATTTCTGAAAATTAAGCAGTGGGAGATTTGCAGTGTGCCTTGTGTTTTAATTTCTCAATGCTTCTGTTGAGCTGAAGTGCTGGTGTAACTGGTACTGTTTATTTACTGAGACAGAAGGTCACTGCTAGGATTTCAGAATAGTCTTGGAAGGCAAGATGAGACTATGCTCAGAACAGCAAAAAGAAAATGGAGCCTGTTCCTTGGATCCCTCCTTGCTCTTAATTCCCAGGGTTTTGTGATTTTCCGTGAGACAAAAATCTGTTGCCATGTTTACATGTTGCTCAAGCCCTTGACAAGGACTTAAGCCCAGAGGATGGAGGCCATAAATAGTCCTTGTGGGAAGTGCCTTTGAATACAGACATGGCCCCAGGGCAGCTGCTTCACTGTCCACCAAGAGAAAGTCCCTTCCTGGCCTGCTCCATAAACAGCCAGCCATAGATGTGAACTGTCTCACCTCCAGTTAAATGTCTGGCCAAGGTTCTTTTGGGGGAGACTGGAACAAACTGGATCAGTGGAGGGAGGAATGTCCTTTCCTGGCTTATTCCCCTGTGGAGCAAGTTCCCTCCAAGACACATCTCCAAAGCTTGTGGGGTAGTTTGGCACGTGCAGTGGCTGATTTGTACTCCAGGGCAGGTTGTCCCTGCTTGGAAGTCCATCTTCTTCCAGCTTCCAGGTTTGGCCGTACGGGCTTGTGGTGGGTTTTCTCCATGCAGAAGTGGTATCAGGGGATGACATCTTTGAGGAGATTAAGGGTAGCTCGGGTGCATCAGCCTCTGACACCCTGGCAGCTTTGAGGGGCTTCGGTAGGTGCCTCTTGCTGGGGGAGCCCAGGGTTCCAGAGCACGTTAGGTGCTTGTCAGAGCCACACTGCCAGCCAGAATGTCCCAAATGCTGAAAAGTGTCACAGGAAGTTTCTGACATGCTTCTTTCCTTGAAAGTACCAATACCAACACAAGTGCTCATTTTGCTGAAGAGTTTCTTAGGAAAACGATCTTGGCAAGCGTTCAGCAAGCGTGGCATTGTTTCCAGAGGGAGCTGGTGAGAGTTTGGGAGGAATATTGCCTTTTGTTGTTGCAGAGTGTTTGAGTTGAACCAATACTGAGGAATTTTTCTTGCTACATCTCAAACTGCTGGTAACACCAGTTAGCACATGTGAGTGAGTGCAGTATCTGATGCTGTTTCCATAAGGAGAAAGGGTTCCTTTTCCCCAGATGGAGCCTGTTCTTTTTCATCTTCACTGGCTACAGTAATCATGGTGGAAGAGGTGAATATTTAGGTGCCTGGTCAGAACCACAGAAATACAAAGACCTTTTCCAGCCCAGCTGCACTGCTGCTCGTGGCTTCAGCGTCTCGCTGCCTGTGTTGTTTTAGTCTTGGCACTGCCAGGATTCATGGCTCTCGCTCAGCAGAGTCAGATCAGCATCCTGGGGTCTCCATATTCCCTAACAAGAAGACTTCACAGTAGTGTAGTCTCATGTTTAGACTTTCTGAGTTGCTGCCCTTGTGCTGCAGGTCCATTTCTGAAGACGCCTCTCTCTGTGGCTCAGACACCCACCTGCTGTTGGTAGCAAACACTCAGGACTGGCTCCCACCCAGCCTGAAAGGCTTGGGACAGATTCAGTGGCAGGCTTGTGTGTGTCTAATTAGTTTGCTTGCAGTTCCTCACATCTGTTCAGTTCCTTAAACTTCACAGAAGGGACAGAGCTCTAATGCTTTCCCTTCAGTAGCGTTTGTTCTATATTCAGTGCGGGAAGTAACTTGTTCCCAGCTTGGGCTCAGGCCAGGAATTGTTCCCCTGAGGCAGAGATGTATACAACAACTCCTGGAGTATCTTACACCTACCATGGGAAAGAAGGTTCAAAGGCGTACAGTTGTGATAAAACCAGTATTTAAATTCTGCCCACTTCATTTACTCATTTATTAACTCCAGGAGACTCGCTGAGACTGACATGTCATCACTCTGGCTAGATGGTGAAACTAGACTGGCTGCTGTCTGGCTCAGGGACTGGAGGAAGCAGTTCCCTTAAAACCAGGGGCTTGCTGCTGCCCAGCTAGTGAATTTTTACTGAGCTGGGAGGGGAGGAGGAAGTGTTTCAGAAACATGAAAAAGCTGCAGATCTCTGCCCCTGCCTGTTTCAGCAGCAGTCTCCTGCTACTGCGCTGCTGATGCCAGTGCCCAGCTATTTGGCTTGACAGTAGCATGGTTTTGTTGTCTACAATAGCAATAAATGGATCTTTCTTCCCCCCTGCCCAAGGCTTTTTTTCTGAATATATCACTAAACCCTTAAATGTCAATGAGCCGTCAGTGAGCGTATGCTCATGTGGAGGGTGTTTTTAGCCTAGTTCCACTTTTCATCTTCAGTTTCATTCACAGAAATGTCTTTTCTGAAACACTCTCTCTTGGTTGGAAGCTCATGTGAGCTCCAATATGGAAATTCAGAACCTAGGGCAGGACTCTGCCTTTACTGTAGTGTAAGAACACCGAGTGTGCATCTCCTCTTCCCAAAAGCAGTGTCCCAGTCTCTCCGGGGTGGTGGAGCCGTGACCATTTCTTTCCCTTTAGGCGGGGTAACTGTGGGTGTGAGAAACCTTAAAAACACCCTCGTGTGTCCAGTCTTCTGAACAAAGGAGCCCCTTCTCTAGCTGACTTGGCAACCATCGTTTTTACTGGCACACAGGCTTGAGGGCTGGAGGCATGGGACTGCTAGTTCTGATCCATAGAGAAAAATATTTTAAGGAGCACTTGATTACAGTGCAGGGTGATTTGCTTCTAAAAATGCTGGCCAGTATTAATGTATGTGAGAATGTGTGTGAGAAAAATCCCTTCCTATTAAAAGATCAGACTGTGCCTCCCGCTGCAAGGGACAGGACAGGACTGAGCTTTGCAGATAAGTGGTTTGGAAGGACATTTGGAGAAGGCATGATCACAGTCCTGTGGTTTGGAGAGGGTTATTTTGGTTTATTGGGGTGGGTTTTGTTGTTCTGTTATTTTTTGTGAGAGCAGAGTGTGCCCTCTGTTAAGTGGGATTGTTGCTGACCTTCATAAGAAGCCCAGACCTGAACTCTTTGTCAAATACCAATTTGACCAGCACGCTTTCCTCCTCTGTTGACATCATCATCAGGTTAATTGTGCAGGACCGAGGGCTTGCTCAGTACCAGCATGTTGGTGCAGCACCTCTGGTGATGTGGGTTTCTTTTCTGCAGCCCTTGGGAGGGCAGCAGTCAGAGAAAATCACGAGCTGTTTGAAAAGCCTCCAAATGATCTACCTGTGGACTTGTGCAGCTTCCTGCAGCAGGGTTGTGAACTGAGCTGTGCCTCTCTTTGACCAGGTGAAGGAATCGGATGGTGTGGTGAACGATGAGCTGCCGAACTGCTGGGAGTGTCCAAAGTGCAACCATGCAGGGAAAACTGGAAAAGTGAGTTTAATGGGAAAAAGTGGTGCTGGAATGAAATACAAGCTCTCAATCATTCCCTCAGGCTTGTAGGTGTAATTTTGCCTGATACCAGCTTGTGATTTCGTTCTTAATTCAGTTGAGTGGATGGAAATAAGCTGATGGCTTTCAGCTCTTTAATGATTTCCGTAGTTTTGTTCCATGTACCAACACTTGAACCTGGGTAATATTCAGATTAGTTCTGTGCATGGTAATTTTTAAGGTGAAAATACTTTGTTTTAAAAAAATAAAAAATCCAGAAGCAATTATGCATAGCCTGAAGTGTCTGTTGGAATCACTGAAACATTATTTCTTTGCAAACGGAGACAGAGGCTTGCATGTGTGTAGTTAAATAACTTCATGAGGGTTAAAACTGCTTTACTCCTTTAGTCTCTTACAAAGTGATCAATCTGCTAAGGTTGGAGCCTTGGAGGGAACTTGGGTAAAGAGCCGGGAAAAGGCCTAAGGTATAAAGTTTGTTTGTGTTTTGTGTCTCTTTGGCGTACAAGCAAAAGCGCGGACCAGGGTTCAAATACGCGTCAAACCTCCCGGGCTCGCTGCTGAAGGAGCAGAAAATGAACAGAGACAATAAGGAGGTGACGGACGCTGCCAAGCGGAAAGGGGACTGCGAAGAGACTCCCAGGCGGAAATCGGAGGAACATTCCAAAAAGGCTCAAGTGGACTCAATACTGAGGAGAAAGTCAGACGAAGTGCATCTGTGGAGGAAAAGGAAATTCGAGAAGCCCCAGGAACCCACGATGAGGAAGCGGGTATGGCGAGGCACTCTTCTCATGGGCTTACACAGATGGGCGTGGGCTGGTTGGGGCTGATGTCTTTGCCTTCTGGCTTATAGCTCATCTTGCAAACCCAGATTGTTACAAAAGCAGCGGCGATGTTTTGCCTCCCTTTCTGAAAACTGCTAGTCTAACAGGACAGTAGTTTGAACAGTGATGCTTGGGTTGGTGTTCAGAGGCCAAGAGCACTGGGCTGTGGCTGGTGGTTTATTCAAAATACGGGAGAACCCACTTTAACTGAAAAGTCTTTACAAGACGCTTGGAGTAAGGAACAAGGAGGATCAGTTCTGAATGGAAACTTTTTCATCTCTCTCCACTTGGTGGCGTGTAGCAGCTGGTTTTGTGGCTGATCCAGGGATGTAGAGCACTCTAACCCTTCCAAGGACCTTTAGAACTGACACCTTCTGCAGCCTGCAGAGGGGAGGAGCTGCCCACAGCAGTGCTGTAGACAGTGGGAGCTCTTGGGCCAGGCAGGGGCGCTCTGAAGTGTCAAGTGGATTGTGAAATACAATGCTTGGGATATTCAGAAATGCTGGTTTACAGAGGTAGAAATGAGGACCCAGGTTTAACGCGTCTCATGAGTTAATGGCTGATGGCTTTAAAATCAGAATCAGTGGCTGGTTTTGTTGCATGTGCAGCTCCCAAGGAGTGACAGTTGGTCTGCCCTGTGAGGCTTGGTGGTGGGAACACTGCAGTACAGGGTTGGGGTTGCTTTGGTGGAGCGAGAGAGCAAAATCCACCCTTCCAGTTCATGCAACTCTCCTTTCTGGCCACACTTTCCTCTTCCCATCCCTTTGGACTCGCTGCAGTGTTGATGGATAGCATGAATTGCTCCATGAAAGCCCCACACACAACGTGTGAGGAGATCACTGTGGATCACCAAACCTTCATCAGACAGCACAGCGAATGTCATGGTTTGGGGTTTTTACTTTTCTTTCTTCCAACAGCTAAAACTTGGAAAAGAAGACAAACTCTTCAGGAAGAAGGTACTTTGCCACTTTAATAGATGTGTTCTCAATCCCTTTTAATCCCTTCTCCTCACGTGAGCTGAATGGTGAGCCAGTTTCTCTATCAGTCATGTCCTTGTATCACTGCAGGTGGTTTTATTATCCCATTTACATCTTGAAATTACAGAATATCTCTCATGGAAATCTTCACCCTCCAGGACAGTGTAGCTGCAGCGTCCAGTATTAGATTTTCTGTTTTGATGCCCCATATTGAAATACAGCAGCAAGCTGTGTTCTGATGAGCCACGGGACAAAACCCTGTTTGTGTACTGGTGTTTCCCTCTTCCCGTGTGGCTGAATCTTTCCCCCTGCCCCACAGCACCTCCCTGGGGTCCCCCACTGACTCCTGGGGGTGACCTGCCATGTGAGCTGTGATTACCTCTCACAGTAGCTCAATAACAGAAGCCAGATACCTCCAAACTAAGCACTCTGTGTGAAGGATGCTGCAAGCTGCCAGTAGTCTGATGTCATAATTTTTTAATTCTAACCTGTCATTAACTTGCTGTGACCTCTCCCTTTATAATATGTTAATTTAAAGACAGGGTGATCAGCTTTCTCTGCACTGCAGTCTGAAGCATAGGAACACATCCACCAACTTGATCCAATTAGGTTATTGTGAAAGCATAGACCTCCTGATAGAAGTGTGTTCACAGCAGTTCACCTTTTCTTGCCAGTCCAGATCTCTTCTTATTAGAGCTGTTTCATTTTAACAGTCGGTGGCTTCCTTCTTGCTTGTAGTGATCAGATTAGACTTGAAGTCTTCCCTGGTCTTAGTTTGTACGTCTCTTACACTTCTGTCTGGTGCATGTTGAAGAGAGATTTGGTGAAGGTGAGCAAGGGAAGAGCAGTTTGCCGTCGTGAGCAGCGGCCGGGGCAGGGGAGGAGGTGCCAGCTGACCCCTGTCAGCCTGTGTCGTGCTGGAGGTGGTGTCAGACTGTCAGACACCCCCTGTCCTGCATGCACCAGAGGTGGGGGAATCTGGAGAGGACAAGCAGAGCTCAGCAGGATGTCAAGGAGCAGCTAAAGTCCAACGTGGTGAGGCTGTGAGCGTCCAGCAGCGAGGGCCACGGCCGCACGAAGCAATTGAGGTTTCAGAAATCAGCCTTTTGGCTGCTGGGCATGAGTGCATGTCAGCCCGTGTTTGAAGTGGGTGCTTTACCCAGGGAACGTGTCCCAGGCCGGGTTTATTCTGGCCTGCTGGGGAAAAGGTGTCGATAGTGTGCTGCTTATCTTCTGTATGTATATTATCCACTGTGTAATGAGTAAGGCCCTTAAATCTGCAGGATTTTGCATGGTGGGTAAATGCATTTGTCACTGTCTGAGTCCGGGGAGCCAATAGCTGGACTCCTCATCCATGGTGGCACTTGAACTCGATACCTTTGGCCGATGAGTGTGCCCCTGTGCTCGGCGGGGTGGGGCCCGGCGCTGGCGGGCGGCCCGACACCCCCGGGCAGGGCTGCCTGTGTGGAGCATCAGCATGCGAAGCCTTGCCCAGCCCGCTCTCGCTCCAGCAGTCAGCCCTTGTCTCTTCCTTTTCAGCGGCGATCGTGGAAGGCTCCAGATGACCGAACTGCCATGATCAAACCCCTGCGGCGCCTGAAGCAGGAGCCCGAGGATGACCTGCCAGAAGCACCTCCCAGGTCCAAGGACAGCGACCAGTCGCGGTCCAGCTCGCCCACCGCGGGCCCCAGCACGGAGGGCACCGAGCCCAGGGACAAGAAGAAGTTTAAGATGAGGAGGAAAAGGCGGCTTCCCAATAAGGAACTGAGCAAGGAGCTCAGCAAGGAGCTTAACCAGGAGATCCAAAAAACCGAGAACAGCCTTGCCAATGAGAATCACCAACCCATCAAATCTGAACCTGAGAGCGAGAACGAGGAGCCCAAGCGCGCTTTGAACAACAGCGAGAGACTCCATAGGTTCAGCAAAGGGTTGAACGGGACTCCCCGGGAGCTGAGGCACCAGCTCATCCCCAGCCTGCGGAGCACGCCCCGGGGGATCGCCCGGCCCCCGCCCTCGCTCTCTCCTCCCAAATGCATCCAGATGGAGCGGCACGTTATCCGGCCGCCCCCCATCAGCCCCCCTCCGGACTCACTCCCCCTGGATGACGGGGCAGCCCACGTGATGCAGAGGGAAGTCTGGATGGCTGTCTTTAGCTACCTCAGTCATAGAGACTTGTGCATCTGTATGAGAGTTTGCAAGACCTGGAACAGATGGTAAGGAGGGCGGGAGACCGAGGTGGGTCTGACGCGTGGTGGGATGGACTCGAAGGGAAGTGGGTGACAGAGGTGTGTGGGTTGGCACTGAAAGTGTTGAGCCCACAGAGAAAGGGTGACCAGCAGTGTCTGGAGGAGCAGCATGTCTTCTAGTGCTTTCTCAGAAACAGCAGTTCCCAGTGTTTCTGGTGGGAAGTGTGTGTGTGTGAGTGTGTGTGTGTGTGAGCTTCTTTTTTTGCCAGCCCGGGCTGTAGCGCCACAGAGCAGCCTGTTCGTAGACAGGCAGACACTACAATGTTCTTCCCTGCTGGAACAGCCAGTCTAGGTCATGCGAAGTCTTGGTGTCATTCTGCCCCAGGAGCTGCTGACTGCTAATGCAGTTGTTTGCTCAGCTCTGCTGTTAAGTATCTGTTGAGATACAGTGAAGATCTCCCAGTGCCTGGGTGTTCTGGGCAGGGCCCTGCTGATTGTTTCCCTGCAGAGGGGACGTGGAGAGTGATCCCGTTCGCTGTGTCCCATACCAGCAGAGCTGGGGGAGGAATCCTTCCTGCTCTGGATTTACTCAGTGTATCCACTCGGTGCAGTGGGGTGTGAACGCTGACACCATCAGTGACTACAGCAGCAGGAACCATCAGTGGACAGATTTGTCTGTTTCACTGAACTGGGAGTAAAGTCTCCTCCTGTTGGCTGTCACCTCGGATCCAGCTGTAATGTGCACACAGATGGACAGGCTGACAGGGGCTCCTTTCTGGCAGAGCCTGGTAACGAACGGGGTAAATGACAGAAAGGTTGAGAGCTTGGTGATTTGCTGCAGGAAGATGTGTGTGGAGTGTCTCCTCCTTGGGCTTCTTGGTGCCACAGAAAGGCAGTAAATGCCTTTCCCGCTCAGTGCAGTATTTTCCAATGGAAGGGGGAAAAAAAAAGGAAAATGCTGCATCTTTCCCACTTGTTAGGACTGCTTGCTTGTTGCCTTTAGAGAACCATAAAGAGAGCGTGAAAACGCATAAGCCCAGTAGCTGGGAATACCATGAACACACAGAACAGGAATGGGGGGAACTGTTTTACAAAATTCACTGGTTTTAAGTAGGAAAAGTGCAGGGGAAACCAGGACAGTAATATTTCAAACCAGTCTTTATATTCAAAAGGTGAGCAAGAGGGTGTGGCTTGTCTGCTGGCAAGAAAGTGGATTTCAGTAGCTGCCACGGTGACTTAAAATGGGATCAGAAGCTATTGACACTTGCATTTCTGTGGAAATAATTCCATGCTTTATTGCATGATGGATTTGATGGAGAAACTTCCAACCTGCATACCATCGTGTGGGGTTGTGCTTATCTTCACGTCACTCAGCCTTTTTTTTGCTGTTTTCAGTTAAATGCTGTAGTTTTCCCTATTCCAACCTCCATACCATCGTGTGGGGTGCTTATCTTCACGTCACTCAGCCTTTTTTTTTGCTGTTTTCAGTTAAATGCTGTAGTTTTCCCTACTGTTCAATGACACCTTTTGAAGTCTTGCAGAAATCAAAACAAGTGCTAAATTAAGTGCTGTTGGCTTTTTTTTCTTTTTGGGTAGGTGCTGTGACAAAAGATTATGGACCAAAATAGATTTAAACCATTGTAAATCCATCACTCCACTTATGCTTAGTGGCATTATTAGGAGACAGCCTGTAACCCTTGATCTTAGCTGGACAAATATATCTAAAAAGCAGCTGAGCTGGCTTATCAACAGACTGCCAGGTGAGTGATGTTTTTTGACCACTTCACTGAATTTAGCAAACCAGTTTGTGTCTAAACCACAATCTCTGCAGAACGGCTGCAGGGATCCAGGTGTCCTAGGAGAGGAGTTAAATACGTAGGAGCAAAGCATCGGTGGGTTAAAATGGGCCCAAAATTAGTGATGTTATGACTATTTGTTGTGCTGGGTACACTAATCGGAGGAAGGTCTTTGTCAACACGCAAGGTTGCTGTGGAAAGTGCCTGTGCTGATGTGGTTAGAGGAGGTGGGCAAGGGGCTGCTCTCGCCCGCAGTGAGGAAGCTCCCGGCGGTGGGAGAGGTGGAGAGCTGGGCAGGGGGCAGCTGGCGGGGTCCCTGGGGGTCCAGACCGTTGGCCAGAGCATCACCGGGGAGGAGATGGCGGCGGTTGTCCCTGGGTAGGTCACGTGCTCCAACCTCTCCTGTATCTGCAGGTCTCCGAGACCTGCTGCTGTCAGGGTGCTCGTGGATAGCAGTGTCGGCACTTTGTAGTTCCAGTTGCCCTTTACTCCGAACTCTGGACGTGCAGTGGGCAGAAGGACTGAAGGACGCACAGATGAGAGACCTCTTGTCGCCGCCCACAGATAACCGGCCAGGTAACCGGCGGGAGGAGCTCGGGAGCCCGGCCCCAGCCGCTCTGGGGCACGTTCTGCTGCTAGGCCCCTTGGAGGCACCGGGCAGAAACCCCCGCGCCAGTCCCGGCGGGGTTCGGGGCTTCGCCGACGCGCGAGGTGTTCAAAGTAGTGACTTGCAACACCTCCTGGCTGGAAGCCACTGGGTAACGAGGGATGTTCTCTGGCTGCTGAGCAGTCATCTGAGCCACTGTGCCGGTTTTCTGTCTGACTTTCTTCTCTTCAGGCTGCAACGGGTGTACTTTAGAGAGTATGGAAACACTTTCTTCCAGTTCAGGGAAGGAGCAGTTCTGTGGGTCATGCCACATTCGCCCGGATATCAGCTCAGGTGAAATTTTGAGCAAATCAGATCTGCTTTCTGGCATGCACTGCACAGCCTACTGCTTATTCCCGACTCGTAATTCCGCTGGGCCCCTGCAGTTACTTTCATCCCTTTTGTTTTGACATCAGGAGGTGGCTTTGCCCACGTGCCTGTTCCAAAAATAGACGAGCGTCCCTGCTGATGTCCCCTCCAAAGCTCCAGACAGGCACGAGCGTCTGAAGTTGACGTAGGGCAGCAGTGTTGTGTGTCACAGTGCATTTCATGTAGACCTGCAGATGTTTGCAGCACGGGGGGAGGCTCGTGGGAGTGACCTGCTGCCTCCGCTTCCCAGGTCAGATCGACAACCGGAGCAAGCTGCGGAACATCGTGGAGCTGCGCTTGGCCGGCCTGGATATCACCGACGCCTCGCTGCGGCTGATCATAAGGCACATGCCCCTGCTCTCCAAACTCAACCTTAGTTACTGTAACCATGTGACAGATCAGTCTATTAACCTGCTGACCGCGGTCGGAACCACCACGCGGGATTCGTTAACAGAAATTAATTTATCGGGTAAGCGGCACAAGCGCAGGGGAGGGGAGGGAGGGTGGGAATTGCCTGTTGGTGTTAGGCTTGGGTGAAACACCTGTGGAGTGGGAGGGGATTTGCCCAGCTTATCTCCTGCCCCTGGGGCAAGTTCCCCCTAGGGGATGTGGAAATAACCAGGCAGTTGCCCAGCCTGTCCTCGGAGCCCAGGGCTGCACCTCGCTCATCCTCCACAGGGCGTTCTCCAGCACTCTGCCCTGTGCTTCATCTCATCAGTCACACCAACAGAGTCCCGGGGGTCAGGGAAGGGCGATGGGGCTGGCTGGGCACAGCCTGGAAGGGGCAAGAAGGACCTGCCACAGTCAGAATAAACCGTCCTCCGGGTGGAGAACAAACTGATACACGGCTGCTAAATTTCACCCCCCTTTTGTTTGTTTGGTTTTTTTTCTGCCAGACTGCAATAAGGTTACTGACCAGTGCCTGTCTTACTTCAAACGTTGTGGAAACATCTGCCAGATCGACCTGAGGTACTGCAAGCAAGTGACAAAAGAAGGCTGCGAGCAGTTCATCGCAGAGATGTCCGTAAGTGTTCAGTTTGGGCAAGTGGAAGAAAAACTTCTGCAAAAACTGAGTTAGTTAAAGGACCTGTGTAAATACTGGGGCTGGAGGGGGGGTGTGGGTGGGGGGAAGGGACTAAGAACACGTAGGGATTTTATTTTCAATTGGGAACTTGGAATATTGGAAACTACCGCGATTGGATTTTACAACTCTTGTTGAGGAGAGAAAAACATGAAACTACCCATGTTAAGAATTTCAACTTGTGCCACTAATTCAGTCTACCTGGGATGTCCTGCACTGGCTCTTATGCAAATTCATAAGGCGACTGTTACTGGTGATAATTGTTCACACCCGGAAGACGACTGATCTCCAAGAAATACTGTTATTTAAAGTACCACAGCATGTGCTTGGTAGTGTAAATTTGATTTCTGCTTTTCATTTCTTGAAACAACAACAACAAAAGAAGTTGGTGTCATTCAAGTGGACCACGCACTGCATTTCTGCCTTCTTAACACGTTTTGTTTTGTTACATCTTACATTATGCAGAACTATTTTTGTACAAAAATTGTTTAAAAATTATTTATGCAATGTTTGAATGCATTACCAGTGTTTCGGTTTTGATTGCCAATTTTTATCTTTACTTATGGTAGGCGAGAACTTAACCTATACTTCGTAGACAGTATCTATCTACAAATGTGCCCAGGTCAGGAAAAGTAGGTTAATACTTTCAACTTAAAGCATGTTTTAATGGAAGTTTATATCCTGCTTTGTATACTTCAGAAGTGACATAAGCATGTTGTGGAAATAAGGTGTAAATTATAGTTGAAGTAAAACACTTTTATCTGTATAGAAATCACCTTTTTCTCAAAATTTTAAAAAAAAAATTCCAATTTCAGCTTTTGCACATAGGAGGGTTTCACTCTGTAGCATGAGCTCTTGTACTCAATATAAAATTAATTTATACAGTGAGTCCAGCCGTAGAATAAATGGTCAAACGTAGTCTCTCTTTCTTTGAAGTGTGAGTTGAGTTCTCATTTAAGGTTTATAACATGGTTATTTCCTGATTGTAAAATTCTGCATTCATAAGTGCCATTGTTGTACGGTGTTGTTTTCGTAGACCTTCCTGATGCAGTTTTACCTTTGTTGAATTTGTATAAACAATTGTACAAAAACAGGCGCTGGCTCTGGGGGTTTCTGTCCCAACATGGGGTCGTTGGGGGTTGGAGTGTGGAGCAGGGAACAGTTTCCTGCCCCAGTGGATGCCAGGGTTAACAGCAGAAGCTACAAGTAGCACCTGGTCTTTGTCCTGTGCCTCAGAGTTGGAATGTTGCCATACATTTTTACTGATGAGGGAATAAAACAGGCACCTCTGCCTCAGCTAGACCCAGATGAGTCTAGAGGAACACTTCCACATCTAGGAGAAAGTTAAAGCACCAACAGTGCTCCCACAGATGGTGAAAGAAAGAGACAGAGGCAGAGAAGGCCCATCACAGATCTTTATTAATCCTGCGTGGCTAATGATCAGCATGGAAATAACACAGAGGGTATGTTTTTCTTCATTAGCTTACCCACTGAACAGAGACTCCAAGAATTAGTACCATTAAAAAGTTGCTTCTAAAAAATAAAGCCATTGAGAGGTTTGCTCCCTTCTGAAAAATAACCAGCAGTGTCTCTAAGCTGTGTATTTTATTTGGAGGAAGAGCTACTTTCTCTTTTTCAAACCAACTTCATTTTTTTTTACATAGAGCAGGAGCAAGAGGCGAGTTCCCAGGCAGCCCAGCCCAGGGAACAGGGGCCCTGTCTCTGGTACTTCACTAGCATGTGGGAAATGAAAAGGAGAAACTGCAGCTTCATTGCTCACCCCTGCTGAGAGGATGAATCATCCAGGACAGATTAGGCCCTTCCTCACCTCCTGTGAGCTTGAACATGGTGGTGCCTGGCCCCCCCAGCATGAGAGCTTGCCCCCCTCTTCTTCAAGCTGTCTGTCGCAGATCTCCTACCAGCACCACTGAAATTCATGCTCCAAGGGCTCCCCTGGCCTCTGCTGCTGGCCCAGGGCTGACAGTGACACAGGTCAGCCCTCAGCCAAGGGCAGCTGTGGTTAACAGTGGCTTGCTCCTCGGTAGGAGATTGTGAACAGGAGACAAATAACATCTTCCCCTTCTTACTAAAGCCCTCCCTTTTTAAGGTTAGTACATTCCACATGTTAGCAGCAAATAGTTTCATGACCCTGATTAGTTTTCACAGTAACATCAGGTTGTCGGCACATGGCATACAATCATCACATGTAAGATTAATAGTTACAATAGGCATGAGTGGATTAAAGACCACAAGAATATGGTTTACTATACCCCTGGTTAAAAAAATACTTTGTTCCTAAACTAAAAAAAACCACTTAGTAATTGGTATTTGGACGCCGCGTGGCAGAGCCCTGCACTGTGCCCCAGCTTTCTGTCCATCCCCACAGACCAGCCGGGACAGCACGTGTGGAGCGAGAGCCTCAGGACGAAGCAATGGGCGCGAGGTCAGTGGCGTAGGGGCGGCTGTGCAGGTGCAGTTAACGGCAGTGCTTCCTACAGCCGTATTTTACACTGTTGCGGGGACCGTGTCGCAACAGTTACATTCTAGAATTACATAAAAGCTGAATATTCAACTGATAGAGTTGTTGTTTCTTATGCAGTAGACAAGGTAACGTGCTAATGCCGCGAGCAGAGGTGCTGCCTGGCCCCTGCCCAGTGCCCGACGCGGCGAGCACAGCCGATATTCTTCAGAAGAGAGCAAGAACTGCTGTAAACAGTTTGACTCCGACAGTCCGAGGGTCTGGGCTGAGCGGGGCGGTGCCGCTGCTGTACACACGCAGGCTCCGCGGTGCCGCCCGCCCCGGGACGCTGTAAAAAAGGGGGGTCCCAAACCTCTGGGTCCCGGTGTTCAAACGCTCGTTGGTGGAGGCCGGGAAGCAGACCTGCACCCCGGGCGTGCCACTGCTGCCCACAGCCACCCCGGGCGGGCGGCCGGGCGGCGGCCCTGGCTCGGGTTAGGACTTGAAGACGTGCACGGCCCGCACCACGTACTGGCGGCAGATGGGGCACTCGCTCATGCGCTTGCCGCACTTGGTGCAGGTGACCATGTGGCCGCACTCCAGCAGCACGCAGTCGATGAGGGCGTCCATGCAGATCCGACACAGGTTGTCGTCGTTGTCGTTCAGCTGCGTCTTCTCACCCTCTGAAAAACAACGGACAAGGAAAACCAGCTCACTTCCAGCCCAGGCAAGCTCTCCAGTAACGGCTAACTGAGCGTGAACCAGTGCTGCTCCCTCTTCCCAATCGTTTTTGTAACCCACAGCTAAGAATCAATCTATATTCCTTCAAAAAAAGCAAAGAAACAAGAACTAGAGAGTCCCCAGGTGACCATCCAATACTTGGCTTCATTCTTTAAACTCTGAGACCAGTTTCAAGTCAGAATATAATGGCTGTGAAATGGGTTCTGCACTATTCTTCATCTGGCAGAAACTTTCCTCAGAAGATGAAACACAACAATAATAAAGCGGGTGAAGCAGCGGAAGCCTCAAGTAGGCCACAAATGTGTCAACAAAACCTGTCAAGTTTCATCACAAATCAACAACATCACCTGTCAATAACTGGATGTTTGGTCAGACCATGCTGAAAAAACCACCATACAGGCAGGCGTGTTACAAGCTGGTAACGACATCAAAACATTACTCCTCAGATTAGACCTTGTGAGCAGAAATTGGCCTGTGGACACACTACGATGACACAAGCGAAAGAGTCCAGCTGTTGAGTGTAACAGAGAGTAGGAGCACACCAGTGACTGAGCTGCAGCCACAGAACCACCTTATCCTGAGAACATGGACCGAGACCAAACCACCTGAACTTGGACTTTTGCCTCTATAGCTTTTAATTCTGTAAGACAGTAAAAGACCTGAACTGCTTTGGTCTGCTGGCAGCTACGGAGCAGCTCTCCTGCTAATGCCTTGTGAAACCTAATAAAGGATGTGGAAGTGCCAAGTTTCATGTTCTCTGAGGAGCCGGTTCTCAGCTGTGCAATTTTACCTTCACTGTGAAAGCCGAGCTCTCAGAGCTTTGGAAAAAGTCTCAAAAAGCCAGCACAATCCTGGAAAGCTTCATTTACCAACCAGAACCAAGTTCAACTACTGTAGATTCACCTTAAATTGTTAAAACTCACTTTGCAGTTGTTCCAGCTGAACAAACCAAGGTAAATACCAAGTCCTTCTGTTGACAGAACCAGCTACTGGAAGCCAGAAAAGAGACAGCCTTAAAGTGAGAATAAAAGCAAAAACCTACGTGTCTTGTGGTTTTCCTCACTCTCTCTGTACAGTCTGCTCACTCTTTACA